TGGAGTAGGACATCAAGAGTATTAACTCCCTCCCTCTCACCGGGCTTGCAGCTTGTGGGAGTCAAGATTGCTTTCTCCACCATATGGGTCCTAGGGATGGAACCCAGGTCATTGGGCTTCATGGTGTCAGGCACTTTTACTCACTGAGCCATCTCTCTGGCCATCCCCCACTTCCTGTCCTGCCGGGCTTTCAGCCTCCTCTGGTTGTGTCCAGAGAGGCTGGTTTCTTCCAATCATGGATAGTGGATTGCTCCTGCCACATGGCATCTGGTGTCTTTGGCATCAACTCCCTTCTAACAACCTGGCTCCTTTTCACTGTAGTGATCGGTCAACCTGATGGGGAGACACATTAGAAGCTGCCAAGTCCCCTATTCCTGTGTGTTAAAGCCACCTGCTCCTGAAGTGTGTTCCCCCTCCAAAGGAGAACAAATCTACCAAGCTCCTTGGTTGCCTTGACGTTGTCCAGATATCTAGCCTCTTCCATAATCTGGTGATACTAGCCAGCCTTTTGCAAGCATACGCAGTGTGGTGTTCATCTGACTCCAGCAGCGTCCTGGTTCCCCAGATTCTCCAGGAGCCTGACAACACCCATCTAAACTTTACTGAAATCCTCTTTTCAAATTTGAGTTGTCTAGAAATTCTATGCAGGACATGCATGTCTGCTGGAGTTGGAGCTGGGGGACACGGTATCTTCCTTCTTTCTTAACAGTATTCCATGAGTATAAGAGAATACTCAGCACCTTCTTTGTATGTGTGTGCGTGGTGTGTGTGGGGTGTGTGTGTGTGTGGTGTGTGCGTGTTCATGCATGTGTAGGTACACACATCTGAGTGGCACACAGGAAGCACTCTAAGAACTGGTAGTGGGGTGGGCTGCAAACGCTTCAAGCCTGCCCCAGTGACTGACTCCTCCAGCGCAGCTCCATGTCCTAGACGTTTCCCCAACAGTGTCTAAGCAGGGGACTAAGCATTTAAATCCATAAGCCTATGGGGGACATTTCTCGTTCAAATACAGCGTGTACAGGGAAAGATGCCCAACATGACCTTTGGAGCCCAAGTCTACCTCCTCAGTGATGTCCTGTGTCTTCCTGTAACAGGACTATGTCTTCCCATAACAGAGACACCTATCAGTCTTGGAAATCTGACTTTGCAGAGTCCCAGGCTGTCTCCACAACATATAAAATTCGTGTGTGTGTGTGTGTGTGTGTGTGTGTGTGTGTGTGTGTGTGTGTGTGTGAATAAGCCCAAACTTGAGGGTCTCTTGCAAGCGGCCACGGCTTGTATAGTGAAGATGATGGCTGTGCTGTGTGGAGGCTAATAGAATACCCTATGATGCTGCTGTTCAAGGACGCCATGAGACCCTCAGCAGATGTTAGCACCACGCTTTTGGACTCCCCAGCCTCCAGAACTGTGAGCTCTAAGTATACATCCTTTATGTGTTACACGGAACTCACGCTGCTAAATCCACTTGCTCATAGGTGCATGCGCTCATTCATGCCTTAGTTGGATATGTATTCAGTATTTACCAAGTGGACGGTACCCAGTCTCAGGCTCTCCAAGGCAATAGAAACCCTAAGACAGAAATCGTAACAGGTTCATGGAGTACCGCTGTGACAGACCTGACCACGTGTTTGGGGAGAGGATTGTGGAGGTATTTGAACTTTAGATCAGAAATATCCATTGAGTGCTGACAGCCCAGTGGGCCATTCTGTGGGAACTTAGAAGACAATACTGAGCACAGAACAGATGACGGAGACCTGGCTTGTAACGTTTCACAGGGAAGGAAAGGCTGTATCAGGGCTGCTCCTGCGCTGTTAGGAATCTGATGCGCTGGTCCGCTTGGGATGAGGAGTCAGCTGTGTTTTACAAGAGACCAAAACCACCAACGTGAAGCCTTTGCTTTGCTGGGAGAAAGTGATGCTAGTCCTCTGGAGCTGAGAAACCAGTGGTAATTAAATGAAACCAGCATCCCTGTGGCGGAAGCTTCTGGAAGGGTTTCCTCCGGGTCAGCCCACAGAAGCTGTGGTTCAGCAAGGGCCAAGGCTGCGTCTCATGCTGGCAGCCTAACCTGGTAATGTGGAGGCGTCTTCCAGAGGAGCGCTGGTTTTGCCCAAGGGCAGCCGCTGGGGCTTGGCTGGCACCGCGAGAGGCTAGGAGAGACGACAGGTGAATTGCAGCATCTGCTGCAGTCAGAGCCCCGTGACTGAAGGGATCATGGAGAGAAGATGAGTCTTGGCACATGTGACAAGGTCAGAGACCCCCAAAGAGAGCCTGGGAGAGGCTACTGGTGAAGGTGTAGCCAAGATGCAGCAGCGGTCCCAGCGCTTTTGGAGATGGCCACCGAGGAAACAGTCTGTGGAATGGATGTAGTCTGAGCCTAGAAGACAAGCTGTGCGTGCTGTGGATGGCAGAGCCTGGCAAGCAGGCCTGCCCAGGCCCCTCGGGACGTGGGAGCTGGAACTCACAGTGCGCCCCTGCCCCTGCTTCTAGAGTGCCGAGATCAGAGGTGTGTGCCACCATACCAGACCCCATAACCCTTTCCTAAAAGAAGACTAAGTGGGCCTCGAGACATCTCTCCACGTAGAGGGCTTGCCTGGCGTGAGAGAGGCCCGGGGGCTTTGAGCTTCTTAGCCATCTGTGCTCTTAAGGAAATTCTGCTCGTTCTTGCTCATCTATGGGGTACTGGCGGTCGGAAATGGTCCAAACTCCAGCGACTAATGACGTCCACTCGTGTACATGAATTCATGCGCGTGTGGGATGGATATTTATTCATAACCTGCTCTGTGTCCCATATTCAGTCACAGACTTCCACTGTCCACACTGGTCAGAGTCCAGCACCCAGCTGAACTTGTTTCTCCCTGCTCGAGGGCTGTGGAGTACTTTGAACTAAACTTAGAGCCCAGATGCTGGTTCCAGCAGTCCCCACCCTACCCCTAAGTGTGTTCTCTGCCCATCTGCTAACTTTACGTCTGTAACACCCGGTTTAATCCTCCCATCCCGGAGTTCAGTGCCGACCCCGGGCTGCCATCCTGGCTCTGTCCTACCCTCCGCCCCTCCAGGCTCTAACAGCCAGGGTTTTACCAGATAGAGGCATGTAGATGGTAACTGCCCCGCCCGGGGGGGGGGGGCAGATCTCATTACACTGCTATCGCATAGACTTCCTGAGCGTGGTGCGGCCTTCTCTGCTTTAATTTGTAGTGAGATTTCTAACTTAGTACCACTAGCTCCATAGTCTAATAAATCCTCTACTCCCCCGTGTCCCCAAGGAGAGGAGATATGCTTAGTAGCTAGAAGTACCACCAAAGGAGGTTCCCTTGCGCCACATCCAGAAGCCGCAGAAGAACACTAGCAGCAGCTTCAGTGACTTGGATACCTCCACAGGGTGGCCCTCCCCACTGGACAGTCAGTGCAAAGACCTGGGATCCGGGAAGAGTACTCAGGGAGAGGCTGAAAGTATGCCCCCAGCTGAGCGGTGAAGTCCCAGGCTGCCGCTGGATGAGCTGTGTGACCACAGGCTCGTCGCGCATGCCTGAGCCTGAGAGCTCACCCCGTGAAACGGCTGGTGATGGCCAGCGTCTCTCGGGAAGACCATTGAGATAGTCGGTGCGGGGCGATGGCAAAGCCAGATGTGGTGTAACCAGCAAATCCTACCGGCGTGCAACACCACAACCGGCAGATGTGGTGTGAGCAGACCGTCAGATGGTCTGCGTTAAACGCTGTGGCGCCATAACCTACAGAGTGTCTAGCCAATGTGGTCCTCTGTGGTTGAACGCAGTGACATTGCATTAACTTTTCCTGGGACGATATGGACAATTGTCTCTTTGCCCCAGGTGCGGCTCCAATGGCAGACCAAGGTAATGATTCTATCGAAGTCCAACCTGGCCAACCAGCAAGTTTTTGGGTTTTTTTTTTCTTATCTGGAGCATGGGTGAACATTTACCTACAGGAGTGTGGATAACCCAAAAACAGACACATCAGAGCCTGGGGAGATGGATCAGCTGGCAAAGTGCCTACTGTGCGAGCATGAGGAATTGAACTCGCATCCATGTAAAGTGGATAGGTGTGGTAGGGCACATCTGTAACGGGGGGGTGAAGAGGATCCATGCGACTAAGTGGTCAGCCGTCCTGGCAGAATCAGGGAGCTCTAGGTTCTGTGATGGTTACTGTCTTAAATAATAAGGTTCAAAGCCACCAAAAAAGAACTCTGGCCTCCACACACACAAGTACTCAGGCACCTACCTACAGACATGCACATCCCATACAAACATATACATATAGCAAACACGCACACACACACACACACACACACACACACACCACAATCAGTTGTATCACCACAAAGGCCCACGTCTTGGATGGTGAACTCATTGACGCTGCATCACAGAGTTTTTGGTTAACCTGTGTCCTATGTACTCTAGTATCTCCAAAGATTGCTTGCAGCTGGGAGAAGCCAGAAGGGAGTAATGGCTGCCATCTCAACTGAGGGTCCTAAGACCTGCTTCCTCCTTCTAGTAGGTGATGTCAAAAACCCATCACCATTATTGCAAACAAATGTATCTTTCTGTCCACTGAGTTGCCACAGATACCTGGCCAAGGTAGCCTCCACTCCAAGATGGTGAACATATTATACCCATGGGGGAAAAGTCAACCAGCATCCACATGTGGGCATAGGCACCCGTGCTGGGGTGTATCGGGAAGCTGGCACGGTTCTGGAGTGCCCTAGGGCTCACTGGGTGTTCTCAGCCTGGTTCGGCAGCCAGGCAGAGCGGGGTCTGTGACTCCCAGCAGAGGCCTGTGATCAGGGGGTGCACACTGGCCAGGATGCTTCTGATTGTGGGGAGACTTCCTCATGCTGGCCAAGATGCTTTTGATATTGTGGGGAGACTTCCTCACACTGGCCATGATGCTTCTGATTGTGGGGAGACTTCTCATGCTGGCCAAGATGCTTCTGATATTGTGGGGAGACTTCCTTTCTCGCCATAACTTTTCACTTTTGTCTGCAGATCCTGACCCAGGGATGTCCTACGGCATAATGGAGATTGCCATCATTGCAGGTGAGCTGACATGGCAGCACCCTTCTAGAAGCCAAGAAAGACCCTGACCAGAACGGGATTCGGGTGGGATAAGGGGTGGCCACGCCTGGTACTCTTCTCTTCTAGTTTGCTTCTTGTTGCTGTGATAAACACCTCCACCAAGAGAAGCCCGGGGAGGAAAGGGAGTTGCAGCTTATGCTCCCATGTCACCGTCCTTCATTGAGGGAAGCCAGGGCAGGAGAGGCAGGAACAGTGGGTGACAGCTGCTGATCAGCGTGCGATTCCTCTGGCTTGCTTAGCTGTGTAGAGCCCAGGCCCACCTACCATGGAATGGAACCACCTTCAGTGGTGGCAGCAATAAAAATTGTCCACACAGACACGTCCATAGGCTAGTCTGCTTAAGGCCTTTCTTCAACTGAGATTCCTCCTTTCTAGGTGTGTATAGACTTGTGTCCGGTTGGCAAAAAAATTATGTCACTGCCCCCAGGGGCGCTTTGAGGACAGACAGGAACACTCCCGTTCTGGCTGCAAGTGTCGCATATGGCGCCTGACAGAACAGGGACAAAAAGGGACACATGTCAAGAGACATCCTTTCTCCGGACCTTGGATCCCCGGTGGCTCAGACTGGAGTAGGAGTCATCCGTGTGTCATAAATAAAAAATGAGAAAGTAGATTAGTAGGAACAAAGCCCCTACAGAAGAGCGTCGTTTGGGGTAGGGTGGTCAGAGCACCACGGCTGTAGCAGCCATGAGCGGCCCTGGAGTGAGAAAACACTAGGAGAGAGATGTCACGTATAACACGGTAGGAATTCGGGAGGGAAAAGCAGTTTCTGACTCTTAGGGGGCGGTGGTAGGAGGTAAGGACGAGCTCACACCAAGCAACCTGCTCTGTGCTGGGAGTCACCACGCAGGAAGGCGTTAGATGAAAGTGGGGTTGCGATCCAAGGTTGTCGGAGTTCTGGAAATCAGCCAGGCTTGCTCCCAGATGCGAAATTAGAGGTGGCGGGGGGAGGGGGGGGGGGACTCAACTGCTTGAGAGGATTGTGGGGTCTCAGCTGCTCGCCATGGCTGGCTGTGAGAGAGACTACAGGAAGGTCGCTTGGTTTTTAGGAGAAAAAAAAAAAAGCAGCAGCTAGCAAGTGTGTCCTAACTCTGTAAAGCGGGTTCATGGTGCGGGTAGATGAGCTAGCCCAGGCTTCGAGGGCTCCACACCAACTCTGGCATCTCACACTGCCCCACTCATGCCTCCATACTAAAGGCTGGACCCTGGACAGCTGGCCTCCCACTTACGGCTCGAGAGCAAGCAAGCGTGGGGGGGTGTCTCGCTCTGCTCCCCTCTTTGTGGTCCACTCTTGTCTCCAGCTGGCACATAGCTCAGAGATCGTCTTCAGTTAGAAACAGAAGCAGCAGGAAGCCACCAAGGACGCCTGTAGATTTCAGCTACCTGCTCATGTGCCATTTTGCTGTCCCTGAGCCCTTCCTCTTCTCAGGAAGTATTGGCAGGGACAGTGTTCCTGTGGCGGCTGTGAGCTTAGGAGAATGGTCCCAGACTAGTAAGACGTGGAGCTGTGTTCCCCAACGTTACTACTCCAGGAGCCCTCCCTTCTAAGTGAAGACAGCTTGATTCCACAGCTTCAAACCTAGTGAGCCGATCCGAAACACCTCCCATGGGATTGTTGTCTTGGAACCTCCTAAATTTACCTTTTCCGGACCCTAAGTGATCTGACCCATCCTGTCCCGTCTTCCACTTTACTTCTGTGATTTCTGGGACCTAACATATCTTTGACACAGATCTGGGCATGTCATCCACTGAATGGCCAAGTCCACTTCTTCCTGGAGACCTGGAAATCCTCGAGTCCCAGGAATGAGTGGTTCAGGCTGGAGAGGGGCTGCTCCTCCCCCACCAATATAATACCATACCCAACACCCTTGTCTTCCCCCACCCCCATGAACTCTATGGAGTATAATGAGTTCTTCCTAGTTTTCCAGGACTTTCATAGTCTTGGCACAGGAATTTCTATATGGAAATGAATTGCCTGAGGAAGTAAAGCCCAATATTCTATGGGCCCTTCAATACAAGTACTTGTGTTACTGGTGGTCTCTGCAGAGACAGGGTGTATGAAGAATTGTAAGCACCCACAAACAGCAAAGCAACAGGATTTTTACTCCAAGGCAAAGTGAAAGTTACAGGGTATGAATGTCTTGAGAGAACAGCTGGCCCTGAGCAAGATTTTTTGTGCAAGGGTCCCTGGATGCTGCCTGTGTCTTCCTTTTGTGGATACAGGAAAATTGGATGCTAAGGATGTTGTAAGGGTGAATATTTTTAGAGATTATAGTTTAATTACAACATTTCACCCTTCCCTTTCTTCCCTCCAAACCCTCCTATAAACCCAAGTCACTCTCATTTAGACTCGTGGCCTCTGTTTTTACTAATTTTTATTATATATATTGCATATATATAATCACGTTTTTAGTCCATATAATGCTACCTGCGTGTGTGTTTTCAGGGCTGACTGTTTGGCGCTAGTCAACCAGTTGACGTACTTTTCCTTGGGGAGGGCCACCTCTCTCATTCCCAGATTTCCTCCCTCGGTTGCCCATAGTTCTTTGTGTAGGGTTGAGACCTCACACGATGTTTTCAGTCCAGTCGGCAAGGTCATTGGAGTCACCCTTGTTCGGCTCACATTTGGGCAGTCTTTGGGTGGATTTTTACGTCGATTTGTGGACTCTGGTTCTGTGAGCCTTTGTACACTCTGCATGTCCCTTCCTATGGGGCATCTGATTTTAAACACACGCATGCTTGGTCATGCATAGACATAAGATAGCAAATAGAGTTTTTCCCCCCGGGCGATCCTCTTGTGATCTTCTCTTCCCCTGTAGTCAGTAGTTGCACAGACCCAGATGCCGCTGTATTACTTCACTGGTTGGCTGTGGCCCCCCGGCCTTGCCAAGGTGCGCTCTACACCAAGATAGTGTGATGTTGTGCCCAGAGGAAAAAGTCATACTGCAACAGTGCCCCAGCCTGACTTGACTGAGTTGCACCCTGTCTCCCTCTTGCAGCTGTGATCACTGCGGTGGCCTTGGTCCTGGTCTGCCTCCTCTTTCTCATGCTCCGGTACCTGTACAGGCACAAGGGCACCTACCACACCAATGAGGCCAAAGGCACGGAGTTTGCCGAGAGTGCTGACGCAGCCCTGCAAAGTGACCCCGCCCTCCAGGACACCGGGGACAACAGCAAGAAGGAATACTTCATCTGAGGGGTGGCAGACTTCACCTCCCTACAAGATGTGTCTGGCTGCGGGAGAGAAAGCACACCCACCATGCGCCACCATTATCAGCACCAGGAAGCCCTCGAGGGCACCCCAAGACTCTTTCTGCAGAACACTGGGGACCCACCAGGAAACCGATCCAGATGGGAGGAATCGAGGTGTAGAGCACCTCTTCCGGGGACTCGGTGGCCACCCAGAGGCTGGCGTTGGCTCTACAAGGGGCGGAGAACATCTGGATACACAGGACTCCCTGTAAGGCGCAGGCCTCATCTCACTAGCGTGAACACTCTCCTCACTGTGCGTGGGGTGGTGGGGCCTGGAAGCGGGGATGTATCCAAGAGTGGCACCCGTAAGCTGATTGGCGATACTGGCACCGGATGTCCGTCCTTGACATCTGGGGAGGGCAGCAGGTGCCAGAGATAAAAGGCACCTCCCTCTCCCGCCAATCCAGAGTGACAACAAATACATTTGAAGTTTAACTGGGCATTCTTTACCAAATGGCGCTTACTCTGAGTGTCTAGGAAACAGTGAACGCCACCCACTGCTGACCTTTCTCACGTGTAACATTGCGTCTGCGTGCGTGGGGCAGGAAATTGGCCAGTTCCAGCAGGAAGACAGCAGCAAGAATGACCTTTCCCCTCACTGGTCCAGGTTTATAAAACGGATGGAAGGATGAAGCACAGCCATCGGGCCCCTGGCTGAAGCCCTGATTTCTCGATAAATAGTATTAGAAAAGGAGAGTTGTGCTCAACAGCCCTGAGTGAACCCCATCCGCCCTGGGTTTGGGTGCTAGCTCCTCTGGACAGCTCTTAGGACCTCAAGCCATGCAGTTGACATCTCTGGCCTTAATGTTGGTGTTTTTGACATTTTTTCAAGTGGGAATGATGCTAATTGTGTTAGTCCTGGTTCCCAACCGCCAGGATTGTGGGAAGTAACAGAAGTATCAGACACTAGGCCATCGCTGTATTCTAGTGTCACTAACACACTGCCTTCAGGGCTTGCCTGTGTTGGCTAGTGAGAATTCATCATTGAGCCACCTCGATGCATTCTGAGAAACCACCGATTTGAAATGAGTAACAGGGAGAAAATGAGCCAATTGACCAAACCCTTCCAGGTGACACGGCCAGCGGTTCCCCAGTTACTCTGAGGCCAGTATTGCTGAGTGTGAAGACTGCCCCCTGCTGTGCCCGTATCATGCTCCCCTGCAAGCTAATGCGGGTATAAGCGCAGTCTAGTATGGCCACCAGCCAAAGGAGCTGGACGTCCTGGGATTGTTGTGGGGGAAAGAAGCAGGGATTTAATTTTAACAAGAGAGTGGTCAAGGGACAGATGACCCCCAGATTGGTGAATGTCTGTGTTCTCATCTAGGAAAAGGCTGGCTACAGTTGTCACCCATTAATTTAGAGAGACCTGGTCTAAAACCCCAGTGGACGCTTGAAACCAAAGGCAGTATTAAACCCCTTGTATTTGGCTTTTCTGCACACACTTACGTTAAGATTTAATTTATAAATTAGGCACAGCAAGAAATTAACTGCAGTAGCTCACAGTAAAATGGCACCATTTTAACCATAAGCTGTAATAAAAGATTTTTGAAACCATTAATTGCTTATTTCTGGAAATTTTTATTTAATATTCTCAGGTGGCAGTTGGCCATGAGTAATTACATCTTCGGAAAGCTCCTATGGACGGGGGCAGCTACTGTTAGCTGCCCACAGCTGATACTGTGCCACACAGCGGCAGCCTAGGAAAATAACTGTAGAACAAAAAGAACAGAGGGTACAGTCGGGGATAGATGGGCTCAGAAAATACCATAATAGAGCAGAGTCGAATCAGGTGACGTGTCTCTAGGTCTCTCCCAAGCCAGATAGACTGTGGCGGCTGAGGAAGGGGAGCTGAGAAATGTGACCCTTTCAAATGGGCTTGGCCAGAGACCTACCATGTCTTCACAGAAGATTTATGTGTGTGGGTGGGGCTGTTGCACACATGTGAACCAGAGGAAAACTTGAGTCGGTTGCCTCCTGCTATGTGGGCTCCCGAGAACATGCCTAGGAAACACTAAACACGTCTAATTTCCTTCCGTGTGGTGACGTCACTTCCAGTTTTTCAGCATGCACAGCCGGGGGGGCTTTGTGTTCACAAATGTGAGCACCAGTGGCTGTTCAGTGGGTACCGGAGAGGAGCCCACACCACCACAAGCACACCCCTTCCTTGCGTAGGATGGTCCTAGAGCCCCTGGGCCTCGAGACACTCCCCTCTGGCTGGCTGTCCTTGCTTCCCCTGGTAGGCTCAAAGGCTTCTGCATTGCCTGTGGACAGCGAGAAGCAGCTCCCCGTGCTTATACAAGTCAGTCCTCTCCTCCTCTCTACCTCAGCAACTGTCCGGTGCCTAGAAAGCCTGCCGGAACAGCCCAACGCCCAACCCAGCCTGGATCAGTTCCAGCAGCAGCAGTGACGACTCAGGCTGTGGGACTGGGTCATTGAAGGTGGCTCAACGGATGCCACCAATAAAGACGCTATCTCGGGTGGCTACAGAAGTCAGATGGCTGTGACAGCAGGTAAAGTGAATAATTGAAGTAGTGTATATGCACATGCATGACCACATGGGAACACACACACACACACACACACACACACACACACACCTTATGCCTCCGTAAATCAGGAAGAAGGTTTTTTTAATCTCTCCCTCAGCACAGCATGGAAGTGATGCATCCCACCTTCAGGGAAAGCTCTGGGCTATGCATGCACAGTTGCACCATTCCTTGGGGGGGATGCTTCTGGGAATGCATGCACGGTTGCACACACTGACATTTTCATAAGCTGTTAAGAGAAGCTTTTTCTTTTGCTAGCCGCTTTGGCTTATCCCCCACCAGCCGCCTGGGCTCTGCCGCGCCAGCCTGGTTCTAGAGCCGCATGAGTCCCAAATAAACACACAGGAGGCTATATTAATTATGAAGCTGTTGGCCTTGCTTGTCTCTTACTGGCTAGCTCTGCTTTAAGTAATTACCCCATAATTGTTAATCTAAGTATGTCTCTTACCGGAGAATAGTTCTGGGCTCCTACCCCCATGGCGGTTACATGTTGACTCTCTTATGTTTCCCCTTCCCAGAATCCTCCTCGACTCCTAGTCCCTCCTATCTAGGTTTTCTATTGGCCAGACAGTACTTTATTGACAAATGCACAGGCAAATAACAGGACTTCCCCAACAATAAGCTAGTGAGGGCTGACCTAGCTTGAGAGACCTTTCTGTGAGGGAGACCATGACGTGGGGCAGTTGGCCTGTCACTGAGAGTACAATTAAGAAGGCAGCAGTATCTGTTGGGTCAGTAGCTCCCCATCCACGCCTCGGGACTGGGGGACAGCCCAGCCCACTTCCACATTCAAAGGAGAATAGACCACTGGATGACAGCATCACAAAGCAGCCATGCCAACCCTTTGAACTAGCTCGTGCTGCTTTCCAGGAGAGCGGTCGCCCTGCCATGAAGCTACAGCTGCTCCTTGCCCTGGGACTGTATGACCTGGTCCTGTAAACCCGGCGTCCACCAAGGGGTTCATTAAGTCAAAATGCATTTCAGGGCATGAAGAGATGGCTCAGTTGGTCAAGCGCTTATCCTGCAGGCATGAAGACCTGAGTTCAAGCCCCACAGCCCACATATAAAAGAGCTACACCTGGAGCCATACATTCACAATCCCAGGGATGCATGAGGCAGAGGTGGGATGCTCACCACCAACCTCGACGACTTGGATGGACCCCAGGCCTTTAAGAGACTTGTCTCAAATAGCAACTTGGACAGCAACCAATGAACAGCACCCAACATTGGCCCTTGATCTTCACACACGTACACATGCACACACAGAATACACGCATGCACGCACACATGTGTGTGAACACACGTTGTACCACGGGCTCTTTAAATGACTTACCATCGCCACTCTCCCAGAAATCAGGCCATGCTCCCTGTAGCTCCCTCTCTCTCTCTCTCTCTCTCTCTCTCTCTCTCTGGGAGAGATAGTTAGGAAGCTGTGGGGTAGCTTTGATGCTCCTCCCTTTAGTGCCTTGAGTATAAATTTGTGGTCCCATCACGTGGTCCCACGTGTGCCGGGAGTCACATAGACTCCCATGGTGTAGAATTCCCCCCTGTTCCCTAAGGCCTTAAAAAAGTCGTTTATCCCCTTAGTTCTGGGAAGGGTTTCTCTGAACTAGCTCCCTCTCCTCCCCCCTCCCCACTCCTTTCTTTTACTTTAAGCTGTGTCTCATAATAGTCACAACCCTCTCCCACCTCACCGCGGCCTCCTGGTTGCAAAGAGCCCTCTCCCAAGGAGGCCCATTCTGAGGTCACCTCTTCCCCACTGACCCTGAAGGTCTTCTCTCCGTTCCTTTGTTATAGCAGCGCACACGCCCTCAGGCACGCTTGTGTTTTATACACCTGGTGTCAAACTCAGCTGACCCTACTGTGTCTCACAGGTGCTCGGAACACTTCTGTCTCTAGCCAGTAGAGCTGGGCAAAAATCACCAAACCCACCATAAAGTGCTGACCAATCCTGTGTAACTTCTTGACAGCTGTGGTGACAGTGAGGAATGGAAGAGAGGGGGGTTGTGTGTGTACACTTCCACCCTGCCACACAGCAGAGCAAGAGCCATCCAGGGTCAGGAGTCATCCACGTCTGAGGAACTTCAGAGGTGTGTGTGTGTGTGTGTGTGTGTGTGTGTGTGTGTACAAGCGCATGCATGCACATGTGTCTGTGTGTGCAGAGACAGCCACACATTTACTTGCTACTTGTGTAATTGTGGGGGTTACATAGCTGGAAATACAATTTCTGCCTTCAAGAATGTGAGGCTTAGTAGAGAAATAGATATTTGTGCAAATGTTTGTAGCCCTCAAGTATCACAGATTCTGAAAGCAAAGAGATGGCAGATAAATTTGAAACCTGAAAAAAAAAGAGACACAGTTTAATAGTAAGGCAGACGTAGCCCCAGGAAGGAAGGAGGTTAGGTCTGCAGAATAGGAGGTAAGAGCTGGACTACAGAGCAGCCAAGGCCCCAAGCTAAGAAAGTTGGGGTTTGTTACACGTGACTCAGGCAGGAGCCACGGAAATCACATGAGGTAAAAGCCGCGGCCAGATCACACAGGACTCAGACCGGACTGTGGAAATCTACAGAGGCATGGGGTGGAGAAACAGCCCAGTCGGTGAGGCGCTTGCCTTGCAAACACAAAGGCTCAAGTTTGACCCCCAGAATCCACGGAAAAGACTGGATGAGGCTTCGTGTCGCAGCCCTGAGAAGAAGCGTCTACACCGTACTCCCAAATCTCCTCAAGGAACATCATAGAAAGATGGGGTGACAGACTGTAAGAGACAGTGTTCAGAGAGAACCCCTGCAAAACAGTGTCCTCTGAACATCCGAGGCCTCTGTGGTTGTCTGAACAAAACCTGCAGAAGATCAAGCCAGTCAGCTTTGCAGTGAGAGGTGGGGAGGGGCTGCTGAGGCCCTGTCCTGGCTGAGGACTGTTCCCAGTTGAAGGCTGGGGGGGGGCAGGAGATAAGGTTTTCCCAAGGATGAGGCCCCAGGTAAGCTGCCTGTCTCCCGCGGATGGGTTCACATCCCATGCATATACAGGTTGCTCTAATTGAACTTAGGGCTTATTTTATTGGATGAAATCGAAATACATTGTATGTGTATATGCAATTCTCAAAGAGTAAATAAATAAAAATCCATTAAAAAACAAAACCACCAGTGAGACCTCTAACGATCTAAAAGGATGACACCAACTGGCAAGCTAAGCAATAGTGGAGAAACTACCTTAAATGCCCATTCCTGATAATGAACTTGACGACTACCTTAAATGCCCATTTCCGATAGTGAACTTGATGACTACCGTATATGCTATCCTAGAACCTTCATCCAGTGACTGATGGAAGCAGAGGCAAACACCCACAATTAAACCCTGAACTGAACCCATGGAACCCAGTGACAGAGAGAGAGGAGCGATGAACAAATTGGCAAAGAACGGGCTGGCAAAACCAGCAGAGACAGCTGATCTGAAGAGGGGAGAGCTTTGGACCCCAGATCGACAGTTGGGAGGCCAGCATGGGACTGATCCAGACCCCCTGAATGTGAGAGTCAGTGAGGAGGCCTGGGTAACCTATGGGGCCCTGAGCAGTGGATCAGTATTTATCCCTGACATACAAACGGACTTCCTGTGTCCATAACACAAAGAGGGATGCTCTCTCCGCCTGGACTCTTAGGGGAGTGCCTGGACCCTGCCCTGAGTGAAATGACAGACTCTGGCGATCCCCTATGTGGAAGGAAGTGGGGATACGGTGGGAGGCTGAGGGAGGTGGTGGGGGGTGCAGGAGGAGGGGAGGGAGAGGGAACTGGGATTGACATGTGAAGCAAGCTATTTAAAATTAAAGTAATTAAGGAAAAAAGAAAACCAGATGTTACAGTGAGCGCACTTGTAGTTCTGACGGTGGGGAGGGAGAGACAGGCAGATCCCTAGGCCAGCCTGAGTGGTAAGCTAGTGAGAGACCAAACCTCAGAAACACACGGCGTGGTATCTTATTTCTCTCTGTGGCTCATCCTTTCCCACCCGCCCCCCAGTTTGTATCTGGGAGGTGAGATTCCAGGGCAGAGAAGAAATGGGTCTTTGTGATCAACCCACTGTGGTCGGAAAATGCTGAGAGGTTTTCAAAGGCAGAGGAGAGTTAAGGCTAAAGACCTGATCGATGAGATAAATTATGAAGAGAAGGGCCTGCGAGGGGAGACGCCATTGCATAACTACAGCCGTGGACTAGTTGGAGTGTGCGAAGCCCACAGACAAGGAGTGATGTTGACCCTGAAGCCAAGCGTGAAGGTTGCACTCAGCCAGCTTTTGCTAACAGCCCCACATGGTGTGACTGCGTTTCTTCCCTCAGCACCACCTCGTCCCCGTCCCCGAAGGACGGGAGGGCTCCTCCCGAATCCAGACGCTGGAAGGCTCAAAGCTGCACCCCCAGGGCTTAAGGAGATGCTGCAGAGGTAGGAAGGAGAGCCCTCACAGGACTGAACCAGTCAGCTCTGCAAAGAGCAGTCAGCCTCGGCCTCTTTCTCCCCCTTGTCTACACTCGGGAGGCTTACATAGGGGCTTAAAACAAAACACCTGAGGAACAACACACTGAAGGTTCGCCCCTGACCCCACATGCGTGCCTTGTACTTGTACCTTCACAGAGAGAGAGAGAGAGGGAGAGACAGAGAGAGAGAGAGAGAGAGAGAGAGAGAGAGAGAGAGAGAGAGAGAGAGAGAGAGAGAGAGAGAGAGAGAGAGAACTGAAGAATGCTCACGCTCCACTCCCATGATCCCATTGCTGGGGTTGGATTCCACAGTATTCATCTAAGGGAGGTGTGGATGGATTTCAGCTTCTCCAGGAGGCGGGGCTGTGGGTCAGGGCTCAGAGCCAAGCACTGTGTAACTCCCAGAGGAGAACTTCATCTCCTTGGAAAGAACTCCTGTCGTGTTTGTCTTGCTTAAGAGGCTCAATTGTTTTCTATCCCTTTTCCTGGACATTTTCTCACCAGAGCGTCGGAATACCTTAGGGCCAACAGGGTTTCAGTTGGCTTGGTGCCAGGAAGAGATCTGCAAACATTTGCAAATCAGAGACTTACCATGCTGACTACGTAGTGTTAAATCAGGAGAACCGTCCTGAGGCGGGCTGGACTCAGAAATCGCGCCTCCAGCTCTGACACCTCACGGCTCCTCCTCACTCCAGGATCCGCCTCACACTGGCAGGAGGGCAGTGGTTGCCCAGTCTAGGAGGCTGAGTGCCTCGGCAGTTCCAATCGGGCACCAAACACCTGGATGTTTCCTGGAGAGCCCTGGACCACAGTCATTAGGAGCCTGGAAATGCTGGCTCTGGTATCACCAAAGGAACCAGCAGTTGCAACAGGATAAATCGACTCAGGGACAAGAAGGAAAGCCAAGGAAGCCACGTAAGCAAGCAGCGAATAGTCCTCCTTCTGCTACGACCTCTTGTCCAGGCTGCCACAGGAAGACACTGCCCACGTTGAGAAGGCTCTTCATAGATCAATTAAGGCAAGGAAGACTCCCTGCTCAGGTGGTCCCAGTTAATGGCAAGTTGACATTAAAATCAACCATCATATGAGGCATGCTTGGGAGTGACTCAGGCTGGGCTGAAGCAGGAGACTGCAAGGAACCAAGGCCTGGGCCTCCATCTTGGGGATCTTGAACACAGTCGGTCTCACAGGTACTAAGAGTCCTTGGGAGGTGTGGTGGTGTGAATCGGCATAGACGCATGTGTTCGAATGCGTGGCCCATAGGGAGTGGCACTACTAGGAGGTGTGGCCTTGTTGGAGGAAGTGTGTCACTGTGGAGGTGGGTGTGGGGGGGTCTCACTTATGCTCAAGCCAAGCCCAGTGTGACAGTTCACTTCCTGTTGCCTGCAGAGAGACATGTAGGACGCTCAGCTTACTCCTCCAGAGCCATGCTTCTCACCGTGATGGTAATAGGCCAAGCCTGTGAAACTGTAAGTCAACCAAATGAAGTGTTATCCTTTTTAAAGGTCGCCATGGTCATAGTGTCTCTCCCCAGCAATAGAAATCCTAACTAAAACCAGGGGTGGCAGCGTTATCTATGTCAGAGCACAAGTGTGCCAAATGCTGAAGATGGGTTAGAAGGGATGTTCTGGAAAGACACAGAGGAAGTTATTCAGGCCCAAATACACCTTACTGTTTTATTCTTTGAAGGTGCTTACGCATGTATACATATCCTAATCATATCTACAGCTGACTTCCTCCCTCCTGTCCCCTCTGGGCTCCCCCAACATGTCTCACCCCCAACTTCATGCCCTTTTCTGTTTTGAAAAACCTATTGCTGTAGTTACTTTTGTGGTGGTGTAAAGAGACATCATGACCAAGACAACTTATGTTTTTAAAAAAGGAGTTTATTGGGGGGATTGCTTACAGGTTCAGAGTGAAGACTACCACCATGATGGTGGGTAGCTTGGCAACAGGCATGGTACTAGAGCAATCTCCGAGAGTTTATGTGTTGAAACAACAACCACAAAGCAGAAAGAGACGGTTACATGAAATGGTGTGGGCTTCTGAGACACACTTCCTCCAAGAAGGCCACACCTCTTCCAGCAAGGCCACACCTCCTAATCCTTCCCAAACAGCTCCACCAACTGCCACCAAGCATCCAAACATAGGAGCCCATGAGGGCCATTTTCATTAAAACTCACCACACCTGTTGAGTCCAATTATACCAATGGGTGTTGAGTCACCCATAGGCGCATGAACAACCTGCCAATAGCCATCTCCCAAAGAAAACTGACTCTCTCTTCCCCAGTGTCCATCTATTAAGTGCCAGTAGACCCTCAGCTAGCAGTGGAGCCTGGGGAGCCTTTCCCTGCTGAACCAGACTTCGTAACTGGCTTGCTCTTGGGCAGGTGTGAGTCGCCTTATTGGAAGCCCATCTATCAGATGGTGGCAGGACAAAGAATTCACTTGAACCTGTATCAGCCACTAGGCGCCACTTAAAGCCATCACTACAACCCTCGAGGCAAGAGGTCAAAATGAACGTTCTAGGTTTGAACAAGGACTGCTCCTTTGTCACTAAAACCTACGTAAAACCAGTCAAGCTCTTTGTGATCACATAGATCAGTGGCTCCTAATGCTTTGACCCTTTAATACAGCTCCTGAGGTTGTGGTGACCCCTACCATAAGATTATCCTTGTTGCTACACAACAAAAAATATAACTGTAATTTTGCTACTGTACAAGTCACAATGTAAATGTCTGTGTGCCCTGTGAAAGGTTGTTTGGCCCCCAAAAGTGTCACAGGTTTAGAACCACTGACCCACATGCACAAGTATCCCCTCTGGGACAAAAGAAACTTGTCTAGAATCCCAAAGGGGAGATAAAAACAGGATGCCCAATATGGCATCTCAGAAACCAAGGTGTGCCAGGTAGTTTTTTTTTCTCAATATATGTTTTTATTTAAATTAGAAACATGCATGCTTCACATGTCAATCCCAGCTCCCTCTCCCACCCCTCCTCCCTTGTCCCTCCACCAGCCCCCCAACCAGTCCCTACATCATTCCCCAGGGAGGGTAAGGCCCTCCTTGGGGGGAATCTCTAAAGTCTGTCATTTCATCCTGGGCAGGACCTAGGCCCTTCCCCATGTGTCCAGGCTGAGAGAGCATCCCTCCATGTGGAATGGGCTCCCAAAGCTCATTCATACACCATGGTTAACACTGATCTCATACCCAAGGCCCCGGTGATTTCTGTGGCCTCCTCCCTGGCACTATATTCATGGAGTCTGGATCAGTCCCCTGTTGGCCTCTCAGCCATCAGTCTGGGATTCAAGAGCTCCCCTTTGTCCAGTCAGCTGTCTTTGTGGGTTTCATCATCATGGTCTTGACCCCTTTGCTCATCACTCCTCCATCTCTGTCACTGGGTTCTAGGAGTTCAGTTCAGTGTTCAGCTGTGGGTATCTGTCTCTGCTTCCATCAGTCCCTGGATGAAGGTTCTTGGATGGCATATAGTGTAGTCATCAACCCTATCATCAAGGAGGGGCTATTAGTGTAGTCTCTCTACTATTGTTTAGTTTGCCAGTTGGTGTTATCCTTGTACATCTCTGGAGATCTCACTAGTGTCAGCTCTCTCCTCAAGCCTATAATGACTCAATCTATTATGGTATCTCTCATCCTGCTCTCCTCTATTCTTACTCCAACTCAACCTTCCTGCTCCCCCATGCTTTCTCCTCCCCTCCTCTTATCCCCCTCTCTTTTTCTTGGTTCCCTCTCCCCTCCCCACTATGTTCCCAAACTGCTCAGGAGATCTTGCTTCATTCCACTTCTCTGGGGTATCATGCATCTCTCTTGGGAACCTCCCTGTTTCCCAGACTCACTGGCACTGGGATTGTAGGCTGGCACTCCCCTGATCCATATCTAAAATCCATATATGAGTCAGTACATACCATGCTTGTCTTTTTGTGACTGGGTTACCTTGCTCAGGGTGGTTTCTTCTAGTGCCATCCATTTGCCTGCAAATTTCAAGATTCCATTGTTTTTTTCCGATGAGTAGTACTTCATTGTGTAAATGTACCACATTTTCTCTATCCACTCTTCAGTTGTGGGGCGTCTAGGTTGCTTCCAGGATCTAGCTATTACATACAATGCTGCTATGAACATAGTGGAACAGACATCCTTGTTGTGTTAATGGGCATCTTTTGGGTATATGCCTAAGAGTGGAATTGCTGGGTCTTGTGGTAGACTCAGGCCCATTTTCCTGAGGAATCTCCATATTGATTTCCATAGTGGCTGTACAAGTTGGCACTCCCACCAGCAGTGGAAGAGTGTTCCCCTTTCTCCACATCCTCTCCAGCATAAACTGTCATTGGTGTTTTGGATTTTAGCCATTCTGACAGGAGTGAGATGGTATCTCAGAGTTGTTTTGATTTGCATTTCCCTGATGGCTAAGGATGTTGAGCACTTTCTCAAGTGTCTCTTGGCCATTTTAGACTCCTCAATTATGTCAACTTGACACAAGCTAGAGTTATCCGAAAGGAGGGAACCTCAATTGAGAAAATGCCTCCATGAGACCCAGCTTGTAGGGCATTTTCTGAATTAGTGATTGGTGCAGAGGGGCAGCCCATTGTGGGTGTTGTCATCCCTGAGCTGGTGGTCCTATAAGAAAGCAGGCTGAGCAAGCCAAGAGGAGCAAGCCAGTGAGCAGCTCCCCTCCATGGCCTCTGCATCAGCCCCTGCCCCAAGGTTCCTGCCCTGCTTGCGTTCCTGTTCTGACTTCCTTCAGTGGTGGATTAGAATGTGGAAGTATGAGCCAGAAAAACCCTGTCTTCCCCAACTTGCTTTTGGTCGTGGTGTTTTGTCACAGCAATTGAAACTCAAACAAAGACACAAGAGAACTTCCACCTGAACTTCCAATCCATGTCAGCCCCAAATGCTGAGACACAGGTTTCCTTCTCCAGAGTACCAGGTGCTCCTTTCATTGCTGCAGCAGAACACCAGACAAAGGCAGCTCTTGGAAGGCGGGTTCCTGCTCATGGCTGGACAGAGCATAGATTACAGGTCGAGCCACAGCACCAACAGAGCCCCCCAGAAACGGTGCAGAGCCACAGGCCACGGTCAGAGCCCTCGTCTCCGCCATAAGGCTCCATCTTTGTAGCCTGTACTTCGCCTTCCTGGGCATGGAGCGCTGTCTTTCTTTTCCTGTCTTTGAAAAGTTGTTTCATTCGCTTGTTTAGTGTGTGCGCACGCCATGAGAAACATCTGGGGACTGAGGTGTCGTCCTTAGGAAAGGCTTCCCATGGGCCTCCTTGAGAGCACCGGCAGTAATGGTGGCTGGCACAGGGAATCGTTTTACAAACGCGGCCACGGGTAGGCTACCTACACTCCAGTAAATAACTGTCCCCCCCCCGTTCTCACGCAAGCTCCCTAACTCAATTCAGTGGGTCACAGGGAGAGGACGGGGGTGTGGCATGGAAACTTGCTGGGACGGTTTCATCAGGAAAGAGGTGAGAGATCAGTGTGGGTTAAAAAGTGACTGAAATTCAGTGTATACACATGTACATGCATGCACATGTGTATGTATTGATGGGGGAAGTCCTTCTGTCGTGTAAATAAAACACTGTTGGTCAATGGAGAAGCAAGATAGGTGGGACTAGGAGTCGAGGAGGATTTTGGGAAATGTAGTCAAGAGTAAGGAGTCGCCATGTGGTCTCCCCAGGAGGAAAGGACACGTCAGGATGCTGTCCTCAGAAAGATACATCCTTATAGAAATACATATTAGTAGTCATGGGTTAATACTTAACATAGAACTGTCCAATGAGAAGCCCTGGACACTGGCTGACAGCATTGTAACTAATAGAGTCTCTGTGTGTTATTTGGGGTTGACGGGGCTCTGGGACCAGGCTGGCAGGAAGAATCACGTTATGATGTATGTTCCTTCCCTAGCTTTCTGTCACGACGGACTTTAAGTTCTAGTCTAAAATAAACCCTTTCTTCCCTCAATCAGTTTTGGCCAGGGGTTTTATCACAGCAATACAAAATAAATTAAGACAAAGTAAACTAATGAGACAAAGCTTCCTTTCGAAGAAAAATGGGTACAGCACCAGTCCCACAGTCCTATTAAAGGAAAGCACTTTCTAAGTCCCTGACCCCGAACCTGCGCGCTGCCTACCAGACACCCGGAGAGCAAGTCCAGCTCGGCTTTCCCAAACTGCAGTGTCGTCCCCCGCAGTAACAAACTGTCTCCAGCTTAGCAGCCGTGCAGGTTCATCTCCACTGTCAACTCAGCGGACACAGCTGTCATCCGGTCAGTGATGGTTCCTGCATGCCTGTGAGGGGCTTTTCTGGATTAGGCTGCGACATGGGCTGTGCTATCCCTTGCGCTGGAGTCCCCAGACCGCATAAAACGGGAAAAGTGAGCTGAGCGTGACCACCCATTTCTCTGTACTTCCTGCCTTCAGTGAACACAGCGTGACCAGGTACTCCACACCCGCGAGGCCACACCCACCGTGATGGGTTTCATCCGTTGGGTACCAGAACAAATCTTTGCTTCTTTATGTTTCTTTGGTCAAGTATTTTCCCCTCGACAACAAGGAAAGTTACTAATAACTCATTTATTCAGAGTTCTGTGATCAGCTGTCCAGGTAAGGCCTTGTTGGCGATCTTCTGCTGGTCTGATTCAGCACGCGTGTGTGGCGGCAGTACTGAGGGGCGTGGCTAGGTACAGACAGTCACCAGAGTCTCCATGCCTCCTCCGGTCGTCGTCACAGGCGTGGACCACTTGGTGAGGTGCAGAGAATCTCATGTGGGAAAATCAGCCCCTGTGGCTCGCAGTATCTCACTATCTGAAGCCTTTTTGTGTGGTGTTCCCCCAAGAAGAGTCCAAAAGAATCAGAGCAGAAGCCATGAAATCTCCCGGGGTCCGGGCTCAGAAGTCGTACACCACTTCCTAAGTGTGGCTTGACTCAAAGCAAGTCACCTGGCGGCCAGCTTGGAGTCAGACGAGGACATCGTGAAGGGCATGCAGAAAGGAAGAGTCATACCGCAGGTAATTCCCCACTCCCGGTACCCACAGGGAGCCCCATTTGCTGGCGCTACACGCGATTCCATGTGTTTGTGAAATGGGTACCAACTCTCTCACCTCCCAAACAGGTTGTTAACCAGCATCTGCCAGCTAATGAGATGACAGGGGTGGAATTGAGGCCTGTGGATTAAGGTCTACTAAATCCGGGCTGACACGGAAACTCAGCGGTGCCCGTGTGCACCTGTGATAGAGAAGGTGCCCCAGAGGAACAGAAAACGCTTGCAAGTTGACACGACACGGTTGTGTCTAAGACGCAGGACAGAATAAAGTCACTAAGAAGAGAAGCATGTGTAAGAAAGGGAAATGCTCACAGTGCTAAGCCTGAAAACACCCTTATGGTTGGAGCTGCCGTGTAGTGCAGAGAGAACCCCCAGTTCTGCTTTTGGATGTGCAACTGGGCATTCACGTGGGCGACAGCCCTGCTGGAGTTGAACACAAGGTGTATTTGGCCTGTTTCGTGCTGCATTTCAAACTTCAGTGATCATGCAAATAGTGAAAACTGATTCTTTATGAAACACTTTTCTTCCTCTGGGGAAAACCCTGCCATAGCGTCCTTCATGAGTCAAGACATCTTCATCCCCGAACACCTGGATGAATCGGCCTCTGTGTGTGTCCCAGTGCCATCATGAGCAGAGAGCTGCCCATTTGTTCCCCAGCCCTCACTTCAAAACGCCAAACATAAAGAAAAACCTTCAGCGAAAGCATGATCACAGGCTGCAGTGCTGATCAGTGAGTAAAACACACGCCACACAACCATGAGGATCTATGCTCAGCCCCCAAGATTCCGCCAAAAATCCAGGCATGGCGGCACACACTTGGAATTCAGTGACAATGAGGACGGAGGCACAGGCTACACAGTCTCAGCCACTTCTCCATCTGTCCATACATGGATACGGACAGAGAGACACAGGGGGAGAGAGAGAGAGAGAGAGAGGGAGGGAGGGGAGAGAGAAGAGAGAGACAGAGGGAGAGAGGGAGAGGGGGAGAGAGAGAGACAGAGACAGACAGAGAGAGAGACAGAGAGAGGGAGAGACAGAAAGAGAGGGAGGGAGAGAGGGAGAGACAGAGAGACAGAGGGAGGGAGGGGGGAGAGAGAGACAGAGACAGACAGACAGAGAGACAGAGACAGAGAGAGAGAGAGAGAGAGAGAGTCTTCTTTACATCCACATTGTTTTATGACGAGTGTGAGCATCTGACAACTTCAGATTTTCAGAAAGAACCAGATATTTACATGTAGCAATACACAGAATTCTACCAAATAAAATTTCATTTCCTTTTCATTATACTCGACGTTTGCTAGCTTCAAGAAAGATGGCATGTGCAGTTTTGTGTGTGTGTTGTAGATACTCATCTCTCAGACATACAGATAGGGAGCTTCTCTTCACTCTGTAGAGCTGTTTCTTCCTTTGATGTACGGAAGGCTGATGGTTGGACTTAACTCTTGAACGACTGAAACGCTATTCAGAAAGTGCCTGCATCTTAGAGTTCTATGCCTTGTATAGGAAAATGGACTTAACCAGAGATAAGCACGTGGAGTGAATTACACCAGTACCAGAAAGACGAATGTTGTGTGTTGTTTTACTTGTGGCTCCTATGTTTTACACAGATAGCACTAAAGCACACGTGTGTGTGCACTGTTGAAGCAGAAGTGAAACTCATATAGAGGGCTGTTGTACAACGGTTCCCTCTGAGATTAAAGCATTCCATCCTGCAGAGGAGCTGGTTAAGCAAGGAGGTAAACAACTAAAAATAGCTTCAGCAACTCCCTGACACTGACCAGACTCACTAGGCCCCACACCAGACGAAGCAAAGCCAGGCTGCAAAGCAGACTCTCACAAGCCAAGCTGCAAAGACTGTCGGACCAGACCAGCCGCCTGGAAGCAGAAATCAGCCCTGGGAAAGGCTGAGAACAAACTGAGGCACCTGGAAAGGACACTCTCTTCTGCTGGACTCAGCCCGGTGGTTAGCTGTGGATGTCTTTATCTGCTCCCATCAGTTGCTGGATGGAAGGTTTACGGTGACAATTAAGGTAGTCACCAGTCTGATCGCAGGGGAAGGCCAGTTCAGGCACCCTTTCCACTATTGCTTAGAGTCTCAGCCAGGATCACCCTTGTGCATTCCTGGCAATTTCCCTAGTGCCAAGCTTCTTGCTAGCCCCATAATGACTCCCTCAATCAAGACATCTTTCCTTGCTCTCCCTCTCTGCCCTTTCCCCATCTTGACCATCCCATCCCCCCCACTTTCCTACCCCTCCTTTCTCCCCTCCTTTTGCCCTGATTTCTCCACCCACCCCCAAACACACACAATCCCAATTTTCTCAGGAGAACTAGTCTATCTCCCCTTCCCAGGGGATCCATGTATGTCTCTCTTATGGTCCTCTTTGTTACCTAGCTTCTCTGGGGTTATGGACTATAGGCTGGCTATCCTTTGCTCAATGTCTAGTATCCACTTACGAGTGAGTACACACCGTGTTCTGAGCCTGGGTTACCTCACCTAGGATGGTGTGTTTTTCTGGTTAATATTTGATGTGGGTGAAGTCGCCCCTGACTGTTGGCCCTGGGAGCTAAAAACACAGCAAGCTGAGTAAACTAGGAAGAGCAAGTCAGAAGCAGCATCCTCCATGGCCTCTGCTTCCTCCAGGCTCCTGCTCTGCCTGACCTCCTGTCCTGACTTTTCTCAGGGATGGACGGTCACCTGTGAGTGTGAGTGAAACACACACTCTCCTCCCCGAGCTGCTTTTTACCACGGTGTTTCACCACAGCAATAGAAACCCTACGTCAGAAATGTTCCATCACCACGGCAGGTGTGGTGGCAGACGTGTGAGAGGTCTGGTCACACTGAATCCGCAGTTGGGAAGCAGAAAGAGATGGATGCCAGTGTGGCCCCACCCAGGGCATGGTACCACCCCCACGTTTGGGGTGTGTCTTCCACTTCAACTAGCCCGATCTACAAACCTTCTCATAGACGTGTCCACAGACTGATCCCCAAGATGTCTCTAGATCCTGGCATGTTGACCGTCAGTGTTAGTCCCCAAGATGTTTCGAGATCCTGGCACGTTGACCGTCAGTGTTAGCTATTGTATCAGGATCAGGTCCAGGCCCAGGAGTCTCGCTGATTTGAGTGAAGTAGAGACCAGTTCCCATAAAGGACATGCTGTACTACACCACCAAAATCTCCCTTCAAGATCTCTTCAGAGAGCAATGGCCACTTCCCAAGGTGAACGTGCAGTGGGCAAAGGGAACTGAACACTCAGGACCTTTGACACAGACGCTGAACTGACCCCAGGAAGACCGAAATCTCACTGTGTCTCTAGTCAGAGTAGGGCTTTTAGAGGAAGGTAGTCAGTGGCGTGCTCAATCCTTGAGGAGCCCCGTCAGTCCCCAGAACCGTGCTGCTTCTCCAATGTGATGAATAACCTTGGTTGCTAACTTGGCTACATCTGGAATTGACTAAAACCCTAGACTCCGGTCTTGTGAGGGACTGTCCTAATCAGATTATTTGGAGCAAGAAAACACCCTACCTCTGGGCTGTACCTTCTGGAGACAGCCCACACAAAAGGACATAGAAGGATGAATCTTTGCTTTTTCTTCTTCTTACCTTCACTCCCCTTCATCTCCCCTGTTGCCGTGGCCAGTGTTAACTCCAGCTTCTTCGTGGCTCCAATGAAGACCAGCAGAGCTCCAGGAACCCTCCTAGGCTTCAGCCTTAGATTGGACTACGGAGAAGTGTAGCCTCATGGACTGAACAACCACTGGATTCATGGCCTTTGTGGGATTTCCTGGACCACATCCTGCAAGTCACTCTAACAAATCAGCTCATTGGCCATCCCTTTAGAAGGCTTACCTCAGTGCACCCTAGACCCCATTCATTCTGTCAGCTCTGTTCCTGTATAGAACACTGATTACAATGCCCAGATGTGGAAGACATGATTGGACACATACTTGCAAACAGAAGAACACTCATCAGCCTTCTGACCACTACAGTGAGGACAAGTATAGTAGCAAGACCAAGAGGAAACCAGTGATTGTTTTGACCTAAAAAAAAATAGTAAACCACCACAGAGAAACCCTGTCTTGAAACCAACGTTAATTTCTCATCCCTTGGATGGAAAATGTGGGGATGCAAGACTGATGAGTCTATCACACCCCCGTTAAGTGTTTTCATTTTATACATGCAAGGTGCTTGATCTTGAAGAATGACAATAGATTATGCTCAACTTAACCAGGCAGTGTCTCCAGTTATAGCTGCCATGTCACAACTGTTTCTGTGGCTTGGGGAAATTTACACATAGTCCAATACCTGCTTCATAATGATCAGCCAGTAAGTACCTCCCTCTCCTCTCTTTGCCCACGAGTAATGGCCGCCAGAAGCACTTCGTTCCTACTGTCAAGGCCGGTGTTACACCTCTGTGTCCTGCCCAAGAGAAAACCAGCTGCCTCTCACGGGCTAATTTACAGGAAATCTGACCCCCCCTTTCTCCTCCAAAGGGCATCATTGCATTCCCTCCACTACATTGATGGTAGCTAGCTGGGCTGTGTTTATAAGAAGGAACAAGGATTCCAGACACATGGTTAAAACATTAATGTGCTACAGAGTGGAAAACAGATTTCAGTATTGTGGAGTCCCTTCTAACGGGAAGGCCCAGGAAATGCATCTAGTTCCTCTTTTGGGGAAGCAAGAAGGTCAGTGGGTTGTCATGGCAACATTCTCTTCATTTGGGTGGGTTGAGTACTAAAAAATGCTGCTAGTTTTGAGTGAGTCCAGAACAAAGGAAAAAGTCTTTTTTTTTAAATTTTTGTTATACTCTATTAAGTTGGAGTCTGTGCACCTTAAAGTTGTTAGTTATCCAAGGATCATACTGCATTTCTGATTCTTTGTGTCTGCCCTCAAGTACTGGGGTTCCATGCATATGCTAACACCTGGTTTATTGTTGAGGCCAGCCTTGTCTGAATAAAACAAAAGCAAAAATATTCTGTATCTAAGAGCATTCTGAACCTTGGCACCCTAAGGATGGAAGGGAGTGATCTGTTACACACATGTCTCCACCTCAGAGAGCTTGAATATGGCATTTCTTACGATGCAGTGGCTGGCCACATTCCCTTGTATTTGAATATAGTATTTTAAGGTGCAGTGGCTTGTTATATTCCCGTGTATTTGAATATGGCATTTCTTACGATGCAGTGGCTGGTCACCTTCCTGCATATTTTTCCATGGCACTTCCTTGTTTGCTCTCTGTGGTGATCTATTCAGCAGAGCCTTCCTCTGATGATTGTATAGGATCTTCACATATAGTTGTTCCTAATAAAAGCTCAGGGCAAGAGGCTGTCTCAGTCCTTAGAGTGTCTTGCAGGCTCTTTGGGCCCCTAGCCTCCCCTGCTAAACATTCACATTTTAGACTCTGAGTTGCTATTCACAGACTGAGCGTGGCTGTCGGTGGCAATTTATGTAGTGCTGGAGACCAAAGCCAGGAACTGGCACCTTCTAGGCAACTGAGATGCAAACCCAAGTCACAAAGCAAAGTTCTGCCCCTGTGAAAAATCCTTGGCTACGTTGGCCATATGTGCCAGCCTATGGCATCTACGGAGGGTAAGGTGTGGGAACACCAGACCTTGAGCAGAGACCCACTTCCCCTTCTGCCTGGGAGTAGGCAGCTGTAAGACAATGTTTAGTAAAAACATGTTTACTAAAAACGATACAATAAGTTCCTGGCCACTTCCCCTTCTGCCTGGGAGTAGGCAGCTGTAAGACAATGTTTAGTAAAAACATGTTTACTAAAAACGATACAATAAGTTCCTGGAGAAGGCCTTCCCACGGAAACTGCCCTGACCTCGACCTTGTCCAAAGACTAACCGCACCTTCAAAACCCACACGCATCCACCTCTGGGTCAGAGCAGAACCAGCCAGGGTAGAGGAGAGAGCAGAAGCTTCTCTGGTGGGAGCTTTTCTTAGGAGGTTTTCTTAAACCTTTTTGGAGCCTGTTTAAAGTTTTCTTTATATCGTTAAACGAGTCTCTGTGTTGTCAATCCCCGACACCCTCCGCACGTTCTCGGACACAGGCTGCGCAGCAGACGTGACAATTGGAGGTAGGCCTTGTCAGCTAGTGAGAGCTCTACAGGTTAGATTGGGAAAGACTGCTCACAGACTTCAAATAATTTTCAAAAGTTATTTGGACACAGTATAGTTTACAATCTTTGAGTGATTTTCAGAAGTTTTTGGGAAATATTTAATGGATATGTCCTTTTTAATGGGCATCTACAAATAATCTAAGTAATAATCCCAATTTACCTAGATAGTTAACCAAGGAGGGTAGACAAATCCTTCTACTGTTATGGTCCAGCTTCAACAGTTCAAAAAAAATTTTTTTAGAAAATGAAAAAGGGGGAATAATGTCCCCAGTCCCCACATGACTCATCAAATAATACACTCCTCATTTTAAAATTTTATAATGTGAATGCCAGTGAGCTTCAGACAGATTCTGGCACGATGGAACTTGAACAACCATTGCTCAGGTCAAATGGAGACATCCATGCACTAGACAGTGGAGAAGACCCTAATTTGGGGTCGAGGGCATGTTTGTGTTTTCTTGTAGGAAAAGAATAAAGCTTTGGCAGCTGTCAGACCATTTAGTGAGATGCATGGAGCAGAGAAAAACTGGACCTGAGACCATGGAAGCCTACCTAAGCCAGTTTGAGTGAGATCTCCTAAATCAGTGTTCTTGACCCTTGATGTCATCGAATCTACAGCCCAAGAAAGAAAGAAAACAGTCGGTTCGAGATTTCCAGTTTCTCAACAGACATGCTGCATCAACCTTCCGGACCCATGAGTTTTCATCATGAAGCCAACAGAGAAAAAAGGACCCATTTAAAGCATTTGGCCATTGGTATGGACTATGAGTGGCAAAAGCCTCTTTTCAGTATTTGAACAGGACATGGTCACTTGAAATATCAGACTTGATGGTTCCTGTTTCTGGAATCACGACTAGGCCAGTGTATTTTTCTGGAGAAATGCAACTTGTCCTAATGCGACAACTATTGTTCATATTTTTCATAATGCTACATGTGTAACATCAATGATTGTACCTAATGTATCTGTGCAAGTGCACTTTCTAAATGCTTTCCTGAGCAGATCTTGAAACGATTGGAAACTTTATCAAATTGTAAATGTAAATCACATGCGGGTTACCCTTGTAACAGAATGTAAATCACGTGCAGGTTACCCTTGTAATAGATGAAGGCTGGTAGAATGTTATGGCCCAGATCTGGTGATGGGTATGGTGATGGAGAGGCGCTATGTCGATGGGGGTCCTGGAAATGGTGGCAGTGGCAGTAGGCATTCTGGCTTTATGCCGAGCTCAAACGTGCCTTGTTCCAGAGACAAGAGATCCGTAACCAAGTATTGCTTAGCTTAGCCCATGGCAATCCCGATAGCTATGAAGGTTGGTTACAGATGATTTAAGATTGGGGTGTCTCCGACGATGGGCAACCTGTGGGGAAGACCCCTCCCACCTAAGACAGGGGTTCAAGGTCCCCCAAAGACGGGAAAGGGAGGGTGACCCTACTTGACCTAAGCCAGGAGTGCCTCATTTGAAAATAAAAAGGGGTGAATTGTGGGAACACCAGACCTTGAGCAAAGACCCACTTCCCCTTCTGCCTGGGAGTAGGCAGCTGTAAGACAATGTTTAGTAAAAACATGTTTACTAAAAACGATACAATAAGTTCCTGGAGAAGGCCTTCCCACGGAAACTGCCCTGACCTCGACCTTGTCCAAAGACTAACCGCACCTTCAAAAACCCACACACATCCACCTCTGGTGTCAGAGCAGAACCAGCCAGGGTAGAGGAGAGAGCAGAAGCTTCTCTGGTGGGAGCTTTTCTTAGGAGGTTTTCTTGAACCTTTTTGGAGCCTGTTTAAAGTTCTCTTTATATCATTGAACGAGTCTCTGTGTTGTCAATCCCCGACACCCTCCGCACGTTCTCGGACACAGGCTGCGCAGCAGACGTGACAGTAAGGATACTCCTTGGGGCCTTTGACAGGATGCTATGTACGAATGCCTTAGGATTTTGAAGCAAAGCCCTGATGGCCTCTGTGGGAAACCTACTGTGCATGAACTTGCAGTCTTTTTTTTTTTTTTTTTTTTTTTTTTGTTTTTCAAGACAGGGTTTCTCTGTATTGTTTTGGATCCTGTCCTGGAACTCGATCGGTAGACCAGGCTGGTCTCGAACTCACAGAGATCCGCTTGCCTCTGCCTCCCGAGTGCTGGGATTAAAGGTGTGTGCCACCAACGCCTGGCGAACTTGCAGTCTTAAAGGATATTGAACCCTTAACTCTGGAGTTACCAGGTTACCATGACAACTTACCCACCTGCCATGGGATGGCTGCCTGATCCTTCAAACTTGACTTTGGTGTGCAACCACATAAACCACTGGGAAGCAGGATAGTTAAACCTCAATGCTTCCTGGTTCCCCCTCCTCATCCCAGACACCAGCCTGCATGTAAACAACGAGGTTGTAAGTCTTCCTGGTACGAAAGAGCAAGAGGCACCTTGCTTTTTCCAGACCCTGACATCCCTGCAAAGGAAGCCACTCCTTTCCTGAAGCCAGGCTCACGGGATCTGATGGTAAGACACTCACCAAGGAGGCTTCTGGGTGAGCGGCTATGCAGGTGCCAAGGAGACAACAAGCAGAGTTCATGTCCAGCCAGATGTCACAGTCACGCGTGTGGGCACATGAGGGCCACGTTGATGGCAGACTGGTACATGAGACTGAAATGTTTGAGCTCTGAGAGATCGGCCTGGTGCATGGGGCCTGCCCTGTGCGGCTGATTTAGGCTGTGGCTGGGAGGCTGCCTAGATAATATATTCATTTGTTGGCATTTGAATTTGTGGACTTCAAGACACACTATTCAAACATTATTATAATTACCCAACCTGACCCTTCCTGTCCTCAAGCCTGTGAAACAGTTGAGGGAATTATTTTTCTCTGCAAGCCTGGGAGTGCTTTGGAATCAATTTAGTTCAGGGTGGCTGTTTCTGCTTCACTTGAGAGAGGAGAAATGGGGAGAATGTAGGAGCTACATTTTAAAGCCCTCCTTATTCAAGCTTTGGAGGCATTTTTCTGACTGGCTCCATAGAGCTGATACTTTAGTGGCGTTTTAAAGGCTACTGGGGAGGCAGTGACAAGAAGAAAAGATTAATCAGAAGAGAATCTGCTGCTATCAAATGCATCTTAGAGTTTCTCTGCCGTTGTCCTGGTGCCTTCGTTAGGGTTTCTGTTGCTGTGAAGAGACACCATGACCACAGCAACTCTTCTAAAGAAAACGTTTAATTTGGTGGCTTACATTTTCAAGGCTTAGTCCATTATTGTCATGGTGGAAAATATGGTGGGCATGCAGGCAGACATGGCGCTACAGAAGGAGCTGAGATTCCTACATCAGGCAACAGGAAGTGAACTGTCTACCACCCTGGGGGTAGCTTGAGCAAAGGAGACCTCAAAGCCCACACCCACAGTGACACAGTTCCTCCAACAAGGCCACACCTCCTCATAGTGCCACTCCCTTAGGGGGCCATTCTCTTTAAAAACCACCACACCTAGCATCACAGAAACTGCTGGAAGCTCAGCACCCACTAATCCATCAAGTCACACAACCTCACAGTGAAGCTGTCCAGTGATGTCTACAGGGGATGGGTTCCATGCTTTAGAGAGGGGGGGTTAAGGACAGACTCAGGGTGTCAGCAGTACCGTGAGGGGTCTAAAGCAAGGGCTTCAGTCCTAATAAACTAAGTGAGGTGACTATTCTTAAAGGTTTCCAAGGGAGGAGCGGGTCCCTGCATCTCAAGGAAATGAGGCTAATTAATAAATATGTGTCCTATGCAACAAAGGTCGTCTCCCAGGTAGTGAGAAAGGAGAAGAGGATCTTGCATCGGAGGAAAGCTGTGGCAGGAGAGAAGCCGTTGGAGGGATAGCCAGCCAGTTCATCACAAAAGCACCTCCCAGGACTGGGTCTAACAAGGGGTTTCGGGACCCCAGAATCTGTAAAGCAAGTCTATTGTTTAAAGAAAAAATAGTTTGCTGGGAAGCTGGGAAGAGGCTCTCACATGTTTTCATCATTCGCAAGCTTACTCGTGACACATTGTGTATGTCACAGTTGTGTGTATTATTTAAGGAGTAGTGACAGGGATATCTGCATGTTCATGACTTTTTTAATCTGCAGTTTTCTTTTTATTTGGCTGGAATCTGTCGGGTTTTGTTTTTTTTTAACAGTTTCATACATGAAATGTGGTCATTTTCATGCCCCTCCCTTTTACCTCTCTCATTCTCTCCTGCTTCTACTGACCCCTTCTCCCCATCATATCTCCCGTCTACTTTCTTGTCTTCTTGTGAACCGCTGAGCTTAGTTAGGGTTGTTTGCATGAGTACCTACTGTGTGTGTGTGTGTGTGTGTGTGTGTGATGTGTCTGTGTATGTCTGTGTGTGCATGTCTGTGTCTCTGTGTGTATATGTGAGAGAGAGTGTGTGTGTGTGTGTGTGCATGTCTGTGTGTGTGTCTGAGTATTGTATATGTCTGTGTCTGTGTGTGCATCTGAATGTGGTTGTGTGTCTGTGTGTGTCTCTCTGTGTGTCTGTGTATCTGTGTCTGTGTGTGTGTCTGTGGTTGTGTGTGTCTCTGTGGGGGGAGTGGATGGTGTATGTGTATCTGTGT